CTTTGTCGGTCAATATTGGTGAACAATCGGCGCAACCACTGGCCAAGTTACAAGTTAACAGCCAAGGCCAAAAGCGGCCTCCGAGTATGAATGACAGGGACACAGGGTTCTTTTTGCAACAGTTCAAATTTAAACGTTATTCCCCTGCCCGCTGGTCAAATTTGGGGGAAACCATTCCTAATGTTTTTAAAGTACATTTAACATGGGAAGACGTATTCTACACACCGGTGAGCTCTCCTTTTCCGACGTCATGGCGAACAAATGATTCCGACAGTAATACATACCAAATTAAGTTTACAGGTCAGTATTGGTGAATAACAACTCAACTTCTTTACGTTTGAGTCAGAGTTGTACGGCACTTGCAACACAAACTACTTGTCACATAAGTTGCCTAACCGCTTTCGTTTAAAACTGGCTTTCCGACCTGGCATCCTGTTGCCATATGACACACTGTAATACCCTCCAATACTGACCCCAGTAAGATACAACCCCCCCCCACATCCCTTCATCCCTATTTACGCCACGGCTAAATTTTTTCTTTTTTTTGTTTTAGAAGTAATAGTAGATCTTTTACGGCGCTCGCAACTGCACACATTTTTCCTTTAACAGTCACCAGTTTGTTTTAATATTTATAATCATGTACCTGACACGTCTTACCCTAGAATAATAATTACAAAGTTCTATCTGCTCACACACATGTGAATGCTGCATAATTGCCTGACAATACTGGCTGCGCACATAGGCGGCGGAATTGAAATAGCCTTCCGTATGGTACAAGGTTCCAAGAGTTTCGGCCACAGCGTGCTGCTGGTGAGCGGTAGGGCTGGGCAATGAGTCGCTTCAGAAAAATCCGGATAATATGTTAGTGCACCTCTTCGGCAAATAATATGATGTGAACCGCTTCGGCAAATGGGTTAAAGTAAAGCCACTTCAACAAACTGGTTAGCATCACTTCAACAAATGGGTGCACCGACTTCGGCAAACGTGTCAGGAAAGAGAGTCAGAATTCGGATAATGTTTCATTCAGACTTATCCGGTTATCCTTATAGATTATCCGGATTTTGCCCACCTCTAGTGAGCGGTCAGTGCTACTGTCCACGTCAGCTGCGGTCAGCGACCACCACCTACAGAGAGCAAGGATTAGTCCAAGAGCTATTGTGGGGAAGGACGCCTCATGCCAAAACCAGACAGGGTACTGACCACATGGACGATCAAGTATTACGTGCCCCCCCCCCCCCCCTTTCCCCAAGTGGTGAGGAAAGAGGGTTCTCATTCGCGAAGATGGAAATGGGAGTGGGACTACTAATAATAATGATAATAATAATATATATGATTATAATAGTAATAATAATAACAATAATAATAACAACAACAATAAAAATGCACAGCATTTGTATTGCACATAATATTCGAGCTCAAAAGCAAGTTCTATGCGCTTTATAATCTATCGTGTATTGAAAAAGGACTGTGTGTGGGTTGGGGTTTTTTGTTTGTTTTTAAAAATTATTTTGTTTTGTTTTTCTTTGGGTTTTTTTAGGTTCTTTTGTCTTGTTTAAAATAAAAATTGGTGTCTTACACCCCCATCAACACAACTTCTTCCATCATTTAACTTCAAAAGGCCGGCTTCGGCACCACCTCTCTGGGCTAACCAGGGCTGAGAGGGATATTTTTTTTAAAGTTTCAGTAAGAGTTTTACGGCACATTAAGGTCATATAAGTGCCGAAGATTAGAGGTGTTACAAGGGAGTAACAAACACAAAAAAGAAGGAGGGGAGATAGAGAAGATGGATTTTTTTATAGAGGAAAGAAGGAGCAAACCACACCAGAGCACCAGCCAAGCACCCACTAAGAGAGAGAATCAACGTCCCGGGAGATAGAAGGAGATGCCAAGGAAAAGAACCCCCCGCCCCCACAAGATGTTGTCTAGTGATGACAGACAGCCACCTCTTTCTATTCTTGTCAGACTGACGAAACATACTGGCGGCCACATTCCAACACCGACACCAACCGACCTCATGCATTAGCAATAAATGATATTAAGTTCCTTTGTTTTTTCTTAATCTAAAAAAAAAAGATCATTTGTGTGTGTCGCGGGAGAGAGGAGAGAAAGAAAGTGAGAAGGTAGGGTGGGGGAGGTAGAGGAGGAGGAAGAAGACTCCAATTGGACGAAATGCACAGCCTTACGAGAAATAGAGGTGTGAAGAGAATTGTTATCCAAGGGAGGCTACTTCTTATTTTGATCGAATGAGTAGCAACATTGCAATTATTTCCCCTGATCCACTCTTCTCCGGGACACCAGGATATGGCCAGGAAGAAGTTTAGAAAAAAGACCTACGAGAATCTAGACGTTTCAAAAAGCTGGCATGACCGCAAATGTTATCCGCCTCCATCAACACATTACACAGTACATCATTCTGGGGGCTGGCCTTGCCGACAAAACCAGTCCGGGAACCCAGGCTGAGTGAGGTACAAACAGTACAGTCAAACCAAACCTGCTCACACCATTACTTGTATTTTATAAAACAATCACCTGTTCAACCAGCCATTCCCAATTTCCTCCCTTGCGTATTTTTAAATAATAATATTATAAAGACACTGTATGAGACGGCCACCAATCTATTACAGCCACTTATCTCCCCGACAGTGATTGGCCGTCTTAAACAGTTCCGACAGTACTAGATAAAACAACTTTAATCACATTCTGAACTAACAGCTTTAGCATGCACCAGAGAAGACATTACAACACAGATGCCAGAGCCGACAGGCACTGGATAAAGCTCTCAGAACATTCTTCCTCAACCGTCGATCGATATATCGATGATGACATAAGCAGTATGCATGCTACAGCTTTGCCTAGGTGGTAGACAAAGAGGAGGTAAATTGCCCCTGTAGTAATTCCCTTCCTTCAAATCTTGACTTCCTTGACATTAGGCTCCAAAGGAGAGACCTAGTCAATAAGTTTGGAATCAAGGGTGGGGTAAGGGAGTGTCTTATTATTTACAGGTATGATAGGGACATTCTTTATAGTAGGGATCGGTTAAATATTGAATTTTGCCAGGGTGGCAGCCCAACAATCTACTCCGTCTCAGAAAATTCACTATGCAAGCAGAAAGAAAGAAAATATCAGAGCAATGTTTGAAGGAATAAAGAAATTAAAAGACCAAGCATAAAGATAAGAGGCTCTTAGAATACAGCATCTGGGGATTAGTTTCTCTTTTACTCAAAGAAATAAAACATAGTAGATGTACACTAATTTAGTATTTCTTGTACTTTTTTCTTTTAGCTTGCTGAGGACTTTTTGGTGGGTGATCCTCCTTTAATGTAATTCACTTGTCAAATTTGATTCTATTTTGTGTTTCTGTGGTCTTAAAAATACTATAAAAACTGTAGCATATAATGCTTTTATTTTTGGCTAGTGTGGTTAAGTCAAGCTCATTTGGTAATTCACTGGGTTATGATGCAGATGTTCATAGTGCAGATACCCGACCGGATGTTCCACCTTTCTCCATTCTTGACTTTCTGTCATCAGTATATTTTAAATTTTTTTAGGAAAGAGAAACTAATCCAACACAAAGCACTGGGAGACAACAAACTAGACTGACAGAAATACTGTACACCGGGATTTTTGGTGTACAGTTTGAATTTCTCATTTTTACAGAAATTAAAGAATTCAAGTCATTCATGAAAGGTTAAAAAGGGCGCTACTGCATTGGAACCAAATACATACATGAAACAGAGCGATTTAAATCGCGAATTCAGAACATTCCCAACCAACAAAATGGGTAAAACGCAGAAAGAAATTTTAAAAAACCTGGGGTACAATAAAAGGGATATTAAAGAAGTAGGATCTGTCAACAGCGCCCTCAAATCACCCATTTTATACAGCAAAACAAACAAGACCCAAGCAAAGCCCCATCTTGTTACAAAGCAAGAAGAAAGAACACAGACGCAATAAATATTTTCCCCTCTTCCGGCAAAAAATTAAGAAATCTGTAAGAACATCTTTTATACCCCCTGGGGCAGTGCCACTGACTGAAGTGTCTTTAGGCCATTCCCAAAGGGGAAACATTTCTCGTTCAAGCATAGTAGAATTGTAAATGGGCTGACTCATGTCACGCTCATAACTGTGCCTGATCTACAACAGGGAACTGCTGCTTTTTCTTTCCTGATCCTTACTATTGTCATTTTCCTCTACTTCCTTTGTATGTTTGTCACTCTCTTGTGACTTACTATTTCTGGGGTGCCTTGATAGTCGAAGCAGACCTTGTGCTTGAAGCTAGAAAGGTGAGCAGTTTAAGTATGATTCCCTGTAAAGACTTCTCTGTTGACACCCACCCCTTGGCGCTCATATACCTAATGCCTCATATGACCTTATGCAGTTGCGAGCACCGTAAAACCCTCTACTTTAAAAAAAACAAAAAACACCTTTTGTCACTTTTGTTAGTGTTTAACCATGGTAATTGGCGAAAATTTTCTCCTCGGCAAAGGGTAGTTGTCTTCGACAAGCTTGACTGTATACAGATATTTTCATTTCACACAATCTTGGGTGAACAGTAACAGTGAACTTGCAAAGCTGTCAGTTCAAATGAATAGTGGGCAGATATCTGAAAACGTGGTTAAACATTCTGTGAAAAAATTGGCTTAGCCTCTTAATAATCTTCTTCCTTTACAACCGCTTCGCTGGATAAAAAGGAGGGTTGAGACTTGTTAGTGACAGCAAAATTGTGGAGACCAAGTGTGTGAGGCGTAAATGTGAAACTTGTAAAAAGGCTGAAACTACGCACAACTGAAAAGATAAAGTGTTTATAAAGCCAGTAAGGCAACCAGTATGCAACCCCAGAATTATAAAGTGTGTAAAGTTGAAAAATAATTGGAGACCTTACTAGAAGCTAAAATGGCTACAGGTGTGTGTAAACAAAGCTGAATAATATATTGTGTATACTTCAAGCTAAATACTATTAGCTATTTGTGAAGCTGATGTGACAAACTGTTTGTACATACTGTGGGGAGTACCTTCATATCCACTGTCATTGAAGTCCTTCTGGACAAAGTGGACATACGGTCCAGCGGGAAACAGACCCTCCGAATTTCTGCTTACATTACGTCCTTTCAACCAGCCCTGGGGAATGACAAAAAGAGAGCCACATATACAATTGCTGCTCCTGACATGTTTTTCATAGTCTACTGTCTGCAATTTTAATTGTACATGTTTCACATCCTAATCAACTCAATTTAGAAAATGAGATGGGATGCTTTGACAAAAATAAAGCAAAGGCTCTTAAGTAAAGACAAGATCATTCAAAGAAGTTCAACAACCATATTTTTTTAAATGTACTGTTTAACTGACAAAGCTACCTTTGGGTTCTCCCTGTTGGCAATGTCCATGGAGGAAGGGTCAACCTCCAGGGTATCGCCGGGCTCCATGAGGATGTAGCTCTTGCCATGGCCATAGTCCTCTGGGTGGTAGGGGTTGACACACTCAAATCTGTACACCTTCACGTCCGACGCCATGGCCCCGCACTACCACACAGAGCATTGGCCGGCCACTCGCACTGAAAATGAAAAAGACTTTGCATGAACTTGAGGCTGACTACAAATCATTATACAATCTAACTGTTTTATATGCCCCTATCAACACAATTTAGATCATTACCAGCGGCAGGCTGAGTTTAGTCTTAATTTCAGTAAGTTTCACAGCACTTGCTACACAAAAAGGTTGTGTAAGTGCCGAAGATTAGAAGTGTTACAAGGGAGTAACAGACACAAAAAGTAAGAGGAGAAATATGGAACGATAGATGTTTGATAGGAAAGAAGGAGCAAGCCACACCAGAGCTCTCACCAACCTCTCACAAAGGCTGAGTGGGATATGGCATCCTTGCAATCAAACTCATAGAGATACCTTGAGCTGGAATTTAACTCCCATTATCTGTACCCAATGGCAAACAAAGAGCCAAACCATTGCATCACTGACACTGGCTACAGAAGTTTGTGAATTTGAAGTGAATGTTTTATGTCCCCATTCATTAACATAATATAATACAAATAGATCATAATTTAGCAAACAGATTGTTTCAACGCTGGCTGTTAAGCAGGGCCAACTTGGACACAGTGGGATATATCTTATTTGTTTGTTTGAGTAAAGAGAAGCACATCTACAGAGAAGAACAATACAAGATTCATTCCATGAGTGGGAACTGAACACTCGTCTAATGTAAGCAAAGCAAGACATATTAAGTATATATTGTCTTTGGTCTTGTATGAATCTGAGACATAGAGCTTTCTGTTTGTTTGTTTTTGTTTTTAGTAGAGTTTTACAGCCCTCGCAACTGCATACGGTCATATGAGGGCCAAGGGGTCAACAGAGCAGTCCATACAGGGAATCAGGCTTACTCTGCTCACCTCTCTAGCTTCGACAGCACAAAGTTTGCTTCTACTATCAAGGCACCCTGAAAATAGTGGGTCACAAGAGTGTGACAAACATACAAAATAAGTAGAGGATAAAAATAGCAATAGTAAGGATTAGGAAAGAAAAAGCAGCAGTTCCCTGTTGCAGTTCAGGTACAGTTATGAGCCCATTTACAATTCTACTGTGCATAAGAACATGTTAATGCCCCCCCCCCCCCCCCCCCCCACCCCGAGAAAAGCCTAAAGACGCTTCAGTCAGTAGCACCGCCCCAGGGGGGTACACAGAGCCTTCGCAAAGAATTAAACATCAAATTCCAATTTAGCAGAGCCAGAAATTGAACCCACAACAAAACGACAGCAAGTCCAAGCCCCTACTCGTAATGCCAGGAAGCACTATTTGTGTCAAACAGAAACAACAGAGAGATTTTTGTTTTGTTTTTATGAGCTTTACAGAACTTGCAACACAAGTCATATAAGTGCCGAAGATTAAAGGTGTTACAAGAGAGTAACAACCACAAAAAAGGAGAGATTATTAGGATGATACATGTTTAATAGGAAAGAAGGAGCAAACCAAACCAGAGCACCCGTCAACCACCCACACAGAAAGATAGAAAAGAGGTCGGACAACAAGTGTCATTCTCAGACCAAGCACCCCAGCTAGCACAAGTGCAAGCAACATTTTGATTATAAAAAATTGTACTCCCCTTGAAACAACTAAGATCATTTAGGAGGCGGGTTCAGGGCTGCTTACCTAGAAAGACCAGCATCAGAGCTGTTTATTTGATTATTGTTGGAGTATTAAAGAGAAGCACTTTGACACAATAATGGTCATTTAGGGCTGCGAAAAAGTAAGAAATACAGACAGAAACAATAAAGGGAAAGTAAAGGAGGACCTACCAGTGGCGCCCTACACCCACTCGCTAACAGCATCAGAGCTGACAGACAGAGATCAGATATACGATTTAATTCGTTCTCCATGAATCTGATTTCAGGGGAAATTATTATAAATGGGAGTATAAACCTAAGATACTTGGACTTGACTTGAGATGCAGATTATGTCAAGTCATCACAGCAGTGACCACAAGTCCCAAGGAACAGATTGTGACTAAACGGTAAAACCTGAAAAAAAAGTAGGAGCAGGCCACACAGGAGCATCCAAGTGTTGATAACATCTCAGTTGAATTTATTCATTAACACCTTCGGAGTGGCTACTCGCCCGATATCGGGTGACAAGCGCCAGGCTACTCGCCCGATCTAGGATTTCTGAGCACGTTCCCGACGAACGAATTCGGTCGATTAGCCCCGCCTGGCCTGCAGCTTCTGGCCCGTGGGGATTTCTGCGCATGCTCCTTTAAAATTCGCGTGATCAATCCACTGACTTAAAAAGATATGGTCAGTGGATCAATCGCGCAACTTTGCGCAAGATTCAGTCACTCATTCGGTCACTCCTTGTCCTCCAAGTCAAGAGTCGGATCGGCCAACATAGCAGCTGAATTATATGTGGGAAAGACTTTCCAAAAGTTTTACAGACCTGAGTGAAACAATTGAAAAAAATTGGCCACTTTTCACGTGAACCATTTGTAATCGCAGATTGCAGAAAAATCGATGCAGAAAACTCCAAACTATGTGAAGAAATGAGAATGCCCAAAAACGACACGGATAGATTGGTGTATTCTTTTGTGAAATATGGATGCTGCATTTCTATTGTTAGTGTTAGTAACTTTGTCACCAGCATTCCGATGAATGATAATAATTAAATAATTAATAAAGGGTGATAGATCTAGGGGATCTATAACAATATAGTCAACTCGTGAGGGAAACCTCTGAAGACGACAAAAATAAATGGCGGAAAAACATCTGTGATCTATTTTGGGCCAATCACAGAGGTGTGCTGGGTCTCCTCAATAGCTTCATGTCGCTCGGAAGGGCTGCGAGGCCGTGTTTACGCAACCGAATACGGGGTGGCCACTACGGATGGGGTCGCCCGACTCGGTCGCCTCAAAAACAAACATGTTTAGTTTCAGTTTCAGGCGATCGAGTCGGGCGATCGGCCGATCCAGCCGTAGTGGGCACCTCGTATTAGACTAAAACTAGATCTTGGTGACTGGCTCCGGGTGGGCAGAAAATGCTAGCCACCCGAGGTCGCAGAAATCCCCACGGGCCAGTAGCGTCAGGTTACTTGGCCGAATTCGGTCGACTAGCCTGACGTTAACCACCCTAGATAGGGCGAGTAGCCTGGCGCTAGCCACCCGACATCGGGCGAGTAGCCTGATGCTAGCCAACCAACATCGGGCGAGTAGCCTGACGCTAGCAACCCGACATCGGGCGAGTAGCCTGACGCTGGCAACCCGACATCGGGCGAGTAGCACCGGCCTAACACCTTTCCCTATATTCTTTCAGTTAAAAAATCTGGTTTCGTTAGTATAAGTACGAAGAAGCCCTTTGACATGATAACAGCCATCAATCAAGTACTTGGGGAAAAGTATGGCAGATAGACAGTGCACAATAGAAGTAAAGCAAAATAAAAAGTTCTACCAGTGGCGCCCTCTAGTCACAAAGTTACAGCACAGTAGAAACAAAACAACCACTTAAAACCATGGGCATTTTCAAGGCTGTTCTTTCTCAGCCTATACCTGTAAGAATGTTCAACACCCTCAATCAAATTACAAGAAAAAAAAGCAAATTCCGTTAAAAACAGTGCTACTAACTTCCCTTTTATCAATGGAATACCACAACAAAACTAGGGTCTTCTGACAAGCGTCAGAATGACTACTAACAACACAACTAGTAAAGCTAAGTCACTTATATGTATAGCAGACAAATACATTTCACGGCATGCACATTTTTCTTCCTGCTACACACTCCTCAGCTTGCATAAAAGTACATTCCATTTCCAATTTCACACATCCTGTTCTATTCAAATGTTTGTACAGCTCTGAGCCAAGATTGAGATGCTTAATGTCATGTCACAGCATACACCGGGTCATGCACGGTGTAAACAAATTCCCAAGAGTTTGAAGAGGCCTGGACAACAGCAGCCCTAGGATTCATCTTCCTGTTCCCATTCATTCTTCCTTTTCCGTATACTCAACTATTTATCTTCAAGCAGGTGGACAGCATTAGAACTTAAAATTGTCAAAACATAAGAACGTGAACCGATTCTCTAGTAAAGCAGCCACATTTCAAGTCAGCTTTATGCTGTAAACATGATTGGTCAAAGAAGTTATCTACCTGAGATCAAATTAAGCAAAAGGAAAGAGGAGATGCTTGTTGTGCTCAAAGAAAATGTTTAAAATAAATGTAGCCATGATACCACAGAAACCATTCTCAAGTGGTATTGCAAACAACATCCAAAATGGATATTTCTGCTGATTGTTCAGGACTCTCGTTTCTTTTTCTTCTTCTGTATTTTGAGTGACCTTGTCTCCAGCTGGAACAGACAGTTGGACTAACAGTTATGTTTTGATTGTACACGGGCCGGAATGAAAAACTTTCAAGCTCAGATTTTAGTCTTTTGAATCAGGGACTACGATTTTGAGGATTAATTTTTCTATTTGATGGTTCCAATAATTCATTTTTGATTAAATGTAATACCCAATTCGGGGGAAATATTTCAAAGATGTAAGCCAGCAGGTCAAGTTATGCTTCCTGAATAAATGTTATCCACGGAGGTCTCTGGAAATCTAAAAGTACACCAGCCATAACTTGGACGGGTTTTGGGTCGGATGGTTGTTTGAGTAAAGAGAAGTCCAAGAACACAACAACGGTCCAATAATGCAAGGAAAAAAGGAAGACAGAGACGATAAAACAATAGAAAAGAAAAAGGCTTGGGATTACCATACCTCCTATGATAACAAAAGACCTTATTATGAGAAGAAAAATATCCAAAAAAGAGAAATAGCTTCAAATTAGGCTATTCAAAAGCAACGTGAAATCAGTTCTACTGTACGAACCTGAGCCCTAAAGGTTAACATAGACTGAAAAGAGGAGGCTTGTTTTATTTTAGTAAGTGTTTTACTACACTTGCAACCCAGTAAGGTTATATAATAGGTGCCGAAGATTCGAGGTGTTTCAAGAGTAACAAACACAAAAAATAGGGAGGAGAGATTTTTTGGTGTGGTTTTAGTAGAGGTTTTACTCCGCTCGC